TCAACAAGCGGGCCTGACCTAGGGTGAATTTTAAATAGGGATAATTTTTAATGATTTTAAATAGTCACAGCCACTAATATTTGGATTTTAATTGGTTTTTAGAAGGGGTAATTCTGTATATTGTTTTAACATGCTGTGAGCCGCCCTGAGTCCCATGGGAGAAGGGCGGCATATAAATTTTGTAAAATAAATAAATAAATAAATAAATTATTATTATTATTATTATTATTATTATTATTATTATTATTATTATTATTATTATTATTATTTATTATTTATTTATTTATTTATTTATTTATTTATTTATTTATTTATTTATTTATTTATTTATTTATTTATTTATTTTTAATTAGTATTATTTTATTTCATATTTATACCTGGAGAACAGGGAATGAACTGAGAGGGCGCAAGAGCCTCCCTTTTTACCAAAGAATGACCAGAGGAAGCCAGGAATGCGTCTTAAGAGCCCAGAGGCAGTTTATTTGGATTTCTTTGGAGAGCAATCGGCATTCTGGAGGAGCGCTGACCGTCCACAGAACAGGGTGTGGCTGCTCTACTGAGTGCCGTAGACCTCCACTTCACAGACAGCCAAGCTGCTAAATCTAGGCTGGTGGACACTGACGAAGCGGCCTCGCTTCCCGTTGCAGTAGATGGTGGTGATGGAGCCCGGGCTGGTGTTCTGGATAATCCCACAGCTGTGGGGCAAGAGAGGTCACGTTAGGAGAGCAGCCCCCTCCTGGCCCCCACCTGCCGGTCACCCCACCCTCACCCTGAGAACACAGCCCCCCCAGCTCTCCTGTGCTCTGCTTTCTCTTGTGTTCTGCCTCCATTTTGCCTGTAATATTCCAATTAATTGGAAAAAATAGTTCAGTTGGAGAATAGAATAGAATAGAATAGAATAGAATAGAATAGAATAGAATAGAATAGAATAGAATAGAATAGAATAGAATAGAATATGGAATGGAATAGAATATGGAATGGAACAATGATAGAATAAAATAGAAATAAATTAGAATAGAATAGAATAGAATAGAATAGAATAGAATAGAATAGAATAGAATAGAATAGAATAGAATAGAATAGAATAGAATAGAATATATGGAATGGAATAAAATAGAATGGAATAGAATAGAATAGAATAGAAAATATGGAATGGAATAGAATAGAATATAGGAATGGAATGGAATGGAATAGAATAGAATAGAAAATATGGAATAGAATAGAATAGAATAGAATAGAATAGAATAGAATAGAATAGAATAGAATAGAATAGAATAGAATAGAAAATATGGAATGGAATAGAATAGAATAGAATATAGGAATGGAATGGAATAGAATAAGGAATAGAATAAGGAATTGAATAAGGAATAGAATAGAATAGAATAGAATAGAATAGAATAGAATAGAATAGAATAGAATAGAATAGAATATGGAATGGAATGGAATAATGATAGAATAGAAATAAGAAATAGATGGCTGGCTCATATCTAAGTGATTGTCCACTAGGACTCCGAGATCCAGGTTAATGCCTGGCATCTGTGCAAAGACGGGTCTTTTCCCGTCTCGTGGGGGAGCAAGGAGGGAGGTCATCTCATAATCTCCACACCAAGGGAGTCCTGACATCTTGGTCCCCAGGCCAAAGTTCCTCCTACCCAACAGCACCCCAAAATCGCCCACACTGGCTGTGAATTCTATGCGTGGTCATCCGCAAACCTTTGGAGGGCCCAAAACCCCTGGAAGCACCAAACACCTGGCGACAGCTGTCTCAGAGCAACTTACATAGGATTGGACCTTGCGTGGTTTTCCAGAGAGTCTCCCACGTGGACCTCGACTTGGTGGATTCTTTCAGCACAGCAGTCTTCACGGTTTTTCACCACCACCCAGAAGATGTTGTAAGAGTCCTCCAGGTCCACGAACCACCACGGCTGTTCCTCCTGCTTGGTGAGGATGCAGGAGCCCTGGGACCAGTTCCCGTTGCAATTCCCATCCACGGCTTTCTCTGCTGAGCCAACGATCTGATTAGGGTAGATGGAGGACTGGAAGGCCGGCTTTCCCAAGGCCAGGTTCTTCATCTTTACATCTGCAGGAGAGAACGGAGGAGACCTGGAAGGGGGATGGGCAGCAGGGGACCCATTGCCTTCAGAGACAAGGGAAGGTGCTAAGCCAGTGGTTCTCAACCTGTGGGTCGGGACCCCATTTGGGGTCGATCGACCATTTCATGGGGGTCGCCAAGCAAGGCTGTCCACCATTTTTTTTATCCGCCATTTTTTTTGTCTGCCATTTTTTTTCCCTTTTCCGGCGGGTGCCTTACCTCCCTTGGGCTGGGCCAGCTGGTGGTCGGCCTGCTCCATCTCTGCCGCTTGCCAGCTACGCCTCGGCCGGCGCAGGGGGCAGAACCACGCATGCGCGGCGCTCCTGGGCAGGGAAAGTCCTCGACTTACGACCGGTTGGGTAGTCCTTGACTTACGACCGGTTTAGTCCTCGACTTACGACCGGTTTAGTCCTCGACTTACAACCGGTTTAGTCCTCGACTTACAACTGGTTGGGGTCACGGCATTAAAAAGGTTGAGAACCACTGTGCTAAGCCATGAGGGCACCCTTTGGGGGGAGACTGGGGGGTGAGTTTGAAGGCTGGGAAAGGGGTGGAAGGAAGCCAGCTGAGTTCTATGCTACATTTCTTGGCTATTGGGGGAGGAACTTTTTCCCTCCCTCCTTCCCTATTTTGGAGCAAATTGGTAAGAGAAGAACTGCACAGCATCACATTAGATTCAATGTGACTTCAAATGAGCAGCCCTTTATCAGGTTTTTATCCTGACGGGCGAGATTTACCCACTTTAGATAACATGATCCGTGAAACCTAAAAATTACTTTGGCAACCTCCTGTAAGGAAAACCTCTATAACAGTGGTGGCGAACCTATGGCACGGGTGCCAGAGGTGGCACTCAGAGCCCTCTCTGTGGGCACACGCGCCGTCGCCCCAATCCTAGGCCTTCAGCTGGGTTTTATAAAACCTTTTCGATTTAGGCCTCCGCCGCCGTGTGCAAAAAAAAAAAAAGGTTCAGTCAATTTCAACTTCTCGCGGGAAAAAAAAGATCTTGCAAAGTTGGAATTGATTGATTGAACTTTTTAGTCCCACCCAGTCTTCCGTTACCACCGCAGCCACGCCCACCCAATGGGCCACGCCCACCCGGCACCGGACGATGCATAAGTGGGTTTTGGGTTGCAGTTTGGGCACTTGGTCTCTAAAAGGTTCGCCATCGTGCTAATCTTGTGGCACCTCCCTCCCACAAGATTAGCACGAATGAATAAGGGGAAATCCCCGATATGTTGGAAGTGTGGAGAAACCGTTGGGAATTACTATCATATGTGGTGGAAATACACACAGGCACAAAAATTTTGGAATTTATTAAAGAAATGGCTGGAAGAAATCCTGATAATAGATATAGAGGCCAAACCGGAAATTTTCCTACTGGGAATTATAGAAAGAAAATACAAGAAAGATACAAATTATTTATTATTGCATATAGTAACGGCGGCACGAATAGCCTTCGCTCAAAAATGGAAAGAGAAAGATATTCTAACCGAAGAGGAAATATTATTGAAAATCCTCAATTGCGCAGAAATGGATAGACTCACATTGGAACTCAAGGATAAAAGTGAAACTAAGTATTATAAAATCTGGGAACAATTTTACGATTGGATCGATAACAAGAGGGCAGCCAAGACGAATGTATAGTGTTAGAATAAAATATAGATTATAGACAAATGTATATTTAAAAGAAGAACGATATGTCTATATGAGTACTAATGTTACTGTAAAGTGACGGAAGATGTATGGAACCAGTGACGTCATATCTATGTCCAATGTGTTTTTAATTTTGTATTATTAATAAAACTTCAATTAAAAAAAAAAAAGATAACACGATCCGTGCACGATTTTGTTTGACTGGAGACCATGTAGGTCAGTGGTGGCGAACCTCTGGCACGGGTGCCAGAGGTGGCACTCGGAGCCCTCTCTGTGGGCACACGCACCGTCTTCCCAGCCCCGCCTCCTCCCACAGCCCCCTCCTCACCAGCAGCCCCCCCAGAGGAGAGTTGCCCCTGGGCGCGGAGCCAAGGACATGGTAGCTGGGCAGCGGAGCCAAGACTCCGCCCTTGCGCCCCGTTGCGCGCAGATATGCTGCAGGGCAGGGGCGGAGGGCATGGCTGCTATGGCGCTGCTGGGCTGCCTGGGTGATCTGTGGCGGGCCGTGGAGGTGGTGGGTGGCCCAGTGGGCAGGGCGGAGTGGGGACGGGGGTGGGGGGCAGTTTTGGGGCACTCGGTCTCTAAAAGTCAGACTCAGGAGGGCAAACCTCCATTTTCCTTGAGGTGCTGTGAGCAATTAACCACACCATCCCTCCCAGTTTACAGTCTATAGCAGGGGTCTTCAAACTTGGCCACTTTAAGGCTTGTGGACTTCAACTCCCAGAATTCCTCAGCCAGCCCTGTGGACTTGTGGAGTTGAAGTCCCCAAGTCTTAAAGTGGCCAAGTTTGAAGACTCCTGGTCTCTAGGCTTTTTAAAATATATATATATAAGTGTTATTAATTTTTCAGTTTTTACATCCAGGTGCTTAGGAACCAGCGTGGTGATGGGATAATCGGTTATCCAAAAAAAAAACCCCAAAAAAACACACACACAAAATCATAAATATACAACTCAACTTTGCCCCTTAAAAGTTCCCTCTCTATTTTCTCTCAGTTAATGTAACATATTCAAAATAATACATTTCTAAATAAAATTCAAACAGTCAGTAAAATTATCAATGGCATTTTACCTATGCAAATCCTGTTTTTAAGCTTTATTAACTTCCAATTACCGTATTCCAATTTAGCCTTAACTAGGTATATTATTTACGTTTGGGGCATCCCTAATTTCCCTCCTTTCATAACATAATGATTATACTGTCTTAAGATAAACATATTATTCCAACAATTACTCTATTACATTTCCCAAATATATTCTGTTTTCTATTCTAATGCCTCCTCCTTTACTAATATCGTATCTTCCGTTATCACAATCCATTTCCTTGTTCTCATTCCATTGCAAAATAATTATCGTACCTAAAATAAACACGTTATTCCAAAAAATACATTCTTACTCTATTTCAGTTATATATTCTATTCCTTATCTATAGGCTTGATCCTCAGCCGGTCTCTCCAGGGGCTGCCCAGATGTTTTGAAGCGTGTGGGTGCGAGAGATAGAAAAACAGAGAGAACAAGGGCCAGAAGATCCCTGAACGTCAGTGGAATCTGTGGTCTGCTGTGCGGCCATTGTGAGGTGTCCTTAGAAGCCGAGACTTCAGCTTGTATGTTTCTCACAAACTGGGTGCTTGAGTGTTTAATTCTCATTGCTTCCAAGGGCATCTCACAACGGCCGTGCAGCAGACCACAGGTTCCACTGAGGTTCAGGGGTCTCCCGGTCCTTCAAGCAACCATGTATGGCCTCAAATGCATTTGAGGTGGTGTGCTGGGTATGTGAAGGTACAAGAAGACTAAGATATTGGGATATTGAGATGGCCAGGACTACACTGGTATCCACACACACACAGGTTTTCCGGGAGTTCTTACCTCCAGGTGGAGGCCTGCAACTCTGAGCTGCTGTAGGGTCTGCCAAGAGGGTCACGGCCAGCAGACACCCCCAGACGAAGAGCATCATCCTGCAAGCAAGGAAGGGAGAGATAGGAAAGGTGGGGTAATGCCACGTAGGGACGATGAGGAGCTGGCTTCCCCTACTCAACACACCTGAGCATAGGACCCAAAAGAGCAGGGGTCTTCAAACTTGGCCCTTTTATGACTTGTGGACTTCAACTCCCAGAATTCCTCAGCCAGCAAAGCTGGCTGAGGAATTCTGGGAGTTGAAGTCCACAAGTCATAAAAGGGCCAAGTTTGGAGACCCCTGCAAAAGACGGTTGGGGGGAACTTTAAAAATTTGGCCACTCTCCCAAGAGCATTCCTGAAATTGTTCCTCTGCCTTTCCTCACCTGCTCTACTCTTACATAGGTCCATTAAGGTGAGCTGTTCAAAGGTGAGAAGGCCCGTGGTTCTGATCTTTGGCATTCACTATTTTCCAAAGCGCCTGAAGGCAGGAGAAGAAGCAACGGATGGAAACTAATCAAGGAGAGAAGCAACCTAGAACTAAGGAGAAACTTCCTAACAGTGAGGACAATTAACCAGTGGAACCACCTGCCTCCAGAAGCGGTGAATGCTCCAACACTGGAAGTCTTTAAGAAGAGACTGGACAGCCATTTGTCCGAAATGGTATATAGGGTTTCCTGCCTGAGCAGAGGGTTGGACTAGATGATCTCCGAGGTCCCTTCCGACTTTATTCTTATTATTACTTCACAGGTTTTGTTTAACTCACCTGAAGTCTCTTATTTGGCAAACCCAACGGAGGTGAGCTTTCAAAGTTGCTTCTCTTCCAACGGCGATTTCTCCAGAATATCGAAAAATTTTCTGTTTAGGACTCGTTAAAACTTCCTTCCTCGTGTGGGGTAACTCCTCCTCCGGAGAGCTCTGCCAGCCAATGGGAAGGGGCAGAGCCTGTGCTTGAGACCAGGGACCCAATCAAGACCAGGTTTCAAATCTGCCACAAGTGGTTGGCAGTGGGCATGTTACACAATCCACATTTCACGGAATTTCACAGCTCCTTCCGTAAGCTGAGTATCCTCTTGAGAGGAATATAATGGTCGTCTTGGCAGAGGCCAACTGATCTCAATATCAGAACAACCCCGTTGTTGTGAGCAAGCAACAATAGGAATGTTGGTTTTGCAAGACCCAAGCATACTCCACACGTCCAAAGTCAACACAAGTGGGCAGTTGCAGTTGCTAGAGAGAACCATAATGCTTGCCCCCAGTCTCGCTAGAACATAAGAAGGAATATTTCCAAATTAAAGTTAGAAAAAAAACTTCCTGGCAATAAATAACACTGAAGTGCCTTACTAAGGAAAATGTTGAAAGTGTTCGCTGATGTGTTCAAAAAGCAGCCAAAATGCCATCTTTTGAAGGTGACCCATTGAACAGGAGACTGGACTTGATGGCTTCCAAAGGAAGCTTCCAGAACTGCAGGTAAGCGAAGGACTCTTTACAAGGCCTTGGTGAGGCCACAGTATAGGGGGTACCTTGCTCAATAGTAGTAACTGTGAGAGGGACTTCGGAGTCCTAGTGGACAATCACCTAAATAGGAGCCAGCCGTGTGCTGCAGCTGCCAAAAAGGCCAACACAGTGCTGGGCTGCATTAACAGAGGGAGAGAATCAAGATCACGTGAAGTGTTAATACCACTTTACAAGGCCTTGGTCAGGCCACACTTGGAATCCTGCATCCAGTTTTGGTCACCATGATGTAAAAAAGATGTTGAGACTCTAGAAAGAGTGCAGAGAAGAGCAACAAAGAGGATCAGGGGACTGGAGGCTAAAACATACAAGGAACGGTTGCTGGAATTGGGGATGTCTAGTTTAATGAAGAGAAGGACGAGGGGGGACATGATAGCAGCCTTCCAGTATCTCAGGGGCTGCCCCAAAGAAGAGGGAGTCAAGCTGTTCTCCAAAGTCACCCGAAGGCAGGACAAGAAGCAATGGATGGAAACTGACCAAGGAGAGAAGCAACCTAGAACTAAGGAGAAATTTCCTGACAGTTAGAACAATTAACCAGTGGAACAACCTGCCTCCAGAAGCGGTGGATGCTCCAACACTGGAAGTTTTTAAGAAGAGACTGGACAGCCATTTGTCTGAAATGGTATATAGGGTTTCCTGCCTGAGCAGGGGGTTGGACTAGATGACCTCCAAGGTCCCTTCCAGCTCTGTTTGATTGATTGATGCCAGCAAGACCTTCCTTATGCGATGTATCAAACCTTTGCTGTCATATGTAAACCACATTTAGAAACAGAAAACTGGTGGCAGAAAAAGATCTAGTAGTCCATTGAGTTTGCCCTCCGAGTTGTTGTTTTTTTAATTAATTAATCCCTCCCTCCCTCCCTCGCTTGCCACGGTCTCTAATTTCCCCAAGAATATTTATTTAAGGAGAAACTATCCTTGGAATATACACCTTATCTCATTTCCCTGCTTAAACTACTTTCAAGATCTGCGAACAAGGAAGTGTAAGAAAGGCGATATTCATATTTTGGCAGAAAGACGAGCCTGAAACTGCTAGCCTATTTCTCCCTCTTCTTCTTCTTTTTTTTAAAAAAAATATTTTATTAGATTTTATAAGGGTGGGGAAAGGGTAAGATCGGTAAGGGTGTTGGATGGGGCTGGGGAGTGAGGTTGGGATAAGGGTAGGGAAAGAGACAATAATGGGGTAACCCCCAACAGTAATTCATCGCTTTAGCAAGCAGACTGTCATCTGGGTACAAATGTTAAATAACCGTAATTAAAATAATACTAAAAAGTTATAATCACAAAAAAATAATCGTCATCATAAAAAATAAAAGTTAGCCAATAAGTGTCATTTATCCTACTAAATAAATAGCTAATATAATACTGAATAATTATAATCACTAATAATAATAATAGTCATAAAAATAAAGCTTAGTCAATAAATGTACCACTTTACAAGGCCTTGGTAAGGCCACACTTGGAATACTGCATCCAGTTTTGGTCACCGCAATGTAAAAAAGATGTTGAGACTCTAGAAAGAGTACAGAGAAGAGCAACAAAGATGATTAGGGGACTGGAGGCTAAAATATTATAAGGAACGGCTGCTGGAATTGGGTATGTCTAGTTTCATGAAGAGAAGGACGAGGGGGGACATGATAGCAGCGTTCCAGTATCTCAGGGGCTGCCCCAAAGAAGAGGGAGTCAAGCTATTCTCCAAAGCACCCAAAGGCAGAACAAGACGCAACCGATGGAAACTAATCAAGGAGAGAAGCAACCTAGAACTAAGGAGAAACTTCCTGACAGTGAGAACAATTAACCAGTGGAACAACCTGCCTCCAGAAGTGATGAATGCTCCAACACTGGAAGTTTTTAAGAAGAAACTGGACAGCCATTTGTCCGAAATGGTATAGGGTTTCCTGCCTGAGCAGGAGATTGGACTAGATGACCTCCAAGGTCCCTTCCAACTTTGTCATTATTATTATTATTATAAATATCATTCATCTTGTTAGCTTTACAATAGTAAATAACCTTAGTTAATATAATACTAAACAATTATAGTCACCAAAATATCCTTCATCCTATTAAATTTCACAATCCATTCTCATTCTATCGTGCTGCTAACCGTTGATAGAATTTTTCCCTTGTTTTAAAGTAAACTGAATCTTATTTCTCTTTAATCTCTAAAGTTAGTCTGTCCATTTCTGCACGTTCTAAAATTTTCATAATTATAATCTGATCTGGTGGTAAATTTTCATTTTTCCAAAATTGGGCAAATACTATTCTCGCAGCTGTCAATACATGTAATATTAAATATTCATTCTCTTTTCCATAGTTAGATCCTAATATTCCTAGCAAAAACAATTCCGGTTTAAATTCTATCTGTATTTTAGTCATCTTTCCCAGCCACGTATGGATCTTAAAACAGAATTTCTTCGCATTAGGACATGTCCACCAGATGTGATAGTAAGTGCCTGGTTTTTCTTTACATTTCCAACAAATGTTCGATACATTTTTGAACATTTTCGCTAATCTAACTGGTGTCATCTATAAAACATTTTATACACCTATTTCTCCCTCTTCTGCTGTTTGTGTGGACTATCCAACTCAGGAACACAGGAATCTGGGTCCTCCAATAGGGGACAGCAGTGGAACAGCTGACTTGGTTGATTGGGAGATGGGAGTGCCTTCTGGTCTTGGGAACCCTTCTTGCAAGGCCGACAGAGAAGTTGATGTAGGAAGGCACCTGCTCAATATTTACCTGACCTGGTTAAGTCAATGTCAGGCAATAACTTCCTTGAATGTAATAAGTCAGCTGGCTCCTGGTGGTGGTATTTGTTCAGAAACACCTTTCAGTTTTTGCATGTTATATATATTTATAAGATTTACATCTCACCTATTATTTAATTGTTGCGGTGACCGTCGTGACATAAACCAATAAATAACTACAGGTTATTACAATCTGTGCAGGAACTCACAACCACACCTGAGCCACAAAATTTCTCTAAAAGATGACAAATGAGCAGGTGACTGCCAAGGAATATAAATCCGTCCATCCTCCACCATCCAGTCAGAGCTGAAGAAGCTTCTTCGACGAGAAGCGAAACGTCTTCAAAGAAGAACAAGGAAGTCCAGTTGCCTCATGAAAAAGCACCTTTGGGACAACCAGGACCTGGAGGGCGGAGAATCTCCATGGACATTCAGGTCAATGGTTTTCCAATCTCTTCTTAAAATAAATCCAGTGTTGGAGCATCGATCTGAGGAGCTGGACACCTGCAATGGGTCATTTTGTCAGTGTGGGGATTGCACACCAGTGCAACAGCCAACATGTGAGATTGGAATTAGGGACTGAGGGGAAGGGGATTCCCTCAGAGGACCTGATGGGCTGTCTTGAAGTGCCACCTGCCTCCCAGCCCCCACCCCTTGGTCCCAGTGAGAAAAATGAACAGAACATAGAATAGAATAGAATAGAATAGAATAGAATAGAATAGAATAGAATAGAATAGAATGGAATGGAATGGAATGGAATGGAATGGAATGGAATAGAATAGAATAGAATAGAATAGAA